GTGTTTCAGAGCCGAGCTGCTTAAAGCTCCATTGTTTGATCTCTTCTCCGGCTCCGGTAGAAAACAGTAGTTTGTAGCTTTGTCACAGTAGAGAGAGGAAGAAGACGAGCTGCTATCAAAGACGTTAAGCTTTTAGATTATCTGACATGGGGACGCCTCTGAGTTTCTCTCCTCCTTAACTTTTGGATTTCCTGCAACTCGTCTTTGTTACTATTTTAACCGTTCAGTTTTCTTAACCTTTCTCTCTGCTTTTCTCTTTGCCCTTGTTGTGTAACTTTCTCTTCAGTAAAAAAAAAATGTAACTGATTTTATGCATCTCAAAATCAATGTGAACCTTTTGACTAAGGTTAGAGTATGACTAATTATTGCCATTATTTTTTATGTTGTATGATGATCATTAACAGTGGTACGTTTATTCAACTATTATTCTTTACTAATAGTCAGTATATTTTCACGTATGTCTGCTTTTTACTCCAATACATTTATGCCACACCTTTCATTACAAGCTATCCAGAGAGTAGATTTAATTTAATCTAAACCATTTAAAGTATATAAAATGCAATTAATTAAACTATCTAACTAAACATTCCATACAAATGTATTAGCTATTAAAATGTACAATAATATATAAAAATAGTCATAAATATGCAACTAAGTGACCATTCTTACTTAGTGTTCCCTCCAAGGCCCTGTACTTGTAACTGAGTATTTTAGTGTTATCATTAATTTAATTAAGTAATCTGAATGGCTAATTACTTATTTGGTGAATTGTAGAGGTGGGCAGATCTAAATAATATTCATCTAAATACTAATACCAACACTGGTATCAGTATCAGATCGATATTTATGCAATCGGGGGGGTTGGAGCTTATTTCAGCTTTTTTAGGGTGAGAGGCGGGGTACACCATGGACAGGTCGCCAGTGTATCACAAGGCTAACACAGATGGACAGCCATTTATTCACATCTAAGGGCAATTTAGAATCCCCAATTAACCTAACCCCTGTGTTCAATTTTTTTTTAATTATTTTTTTTTTCATGAAAAAATTTCGTCATGTCAATTTATAGCCCATAGTATATGTAAACAACAGAAGCCGACCCAGGCATTCCAGGTCTCTTAAAAAAACATCTGTTAGAAGTCGGAAACTGTGTTAACTAATTGTTGTGGGGAGTTAAAATCACAACATTGTTATGTTGGTGTTCATTAAAATGTGTTCAGAATTTGGCAAATGTACGATGATTCAGCTCATATATCATGACACACTCCTCTAACCTACATAAGCTCCCTTTATAGGTTAAAAGTATCGGCAATACTGCTCTTAATTTACTTGGCATCGGATTGATACCAAAGGTTGCAGTATCACACAGCACTTGTGAATCGGTCCAGAGGTAGCAGTGTGCTGTTGTAGCTGGTTGAGATAGGGCTCATTTTTACCAATTACTGTTTTCTCTTGGGTTAATATATCAAAGGTTTCATTCATTAAAAGCATGACTACTGTGTTAATTATTTAAACAAAGATTAACAACATTTCTCTTTCTTACATTTAAATATGTTGAAATGGCAAGGCTGCAAAAGTAAAATTGCATGTGTTGGTACTTATTAGAGACCCTTTACCATTTGATACCACAGAAAGTTTCATGTGTAGGTATTGTTAGACCTCTTACCATTTAGGATTGACATCATAGCATCACGTATTGGTTTCTGGACTCCATATCCATTCAGTGTTTGGATGCAACTATATTGGTAACCACAGTTAGAAGAAAGGGTGACGTGCTAATGCTAGTAAGTTTGCTTACCAAGCTGCATCTTTAAACTGTGCACAAAACAGGCACCTTTACCTGACAGTGTTCTAGGATTTCACTCACCAGAGCACAAATGTCAACTTCTTAGATGGGCTTTTTGTGAAATAATAAGGCTCCAACAGCCAAAGTTGGTGCAGTGACTCAAATTTGCATAGTTGAGGAGACAGATCTCAGTGTCTGCACAACAGTCAACCTAAGCAGTCACGCCCATAACTATAGAGCTTAACAAAATCCCCAAAAGCACGTATTATATGATATATTACAGATATCAGCTTTAACACTAAGTTGTATATTTTAATATGAGTTTGGGGTTTGACTGGCGTTTGGAGACTGCCTCAGATGACCACTTGTTAACTGGTTTTTGGCACTTCCATTTCATTGCTTGTTACATGCACATTTACAGAGTGAGAACATACATATTTTTTCACATTCAAAGCAGTTTATTATTACATGCATATAAGAAGTCTTTTCAAAAAGCAAAAGTACCATAACAGCAACATGGTAAAGTTAAGGGCTTTTTGTTACTATAGCAGCACTGCCACTATCATATCTAGACACTCAGGTTGTGAAGAAAGAGGCTCTCCAACTAGCAAGTCTACCTCTGTGGTACTCAGCCTTTTTTTCTTTCACAAGTCACACAATTTATGAAATACATTTTTAAATTGTGTGACTTGTCAGTTATTTTATTAATTCATAAAGTATTTTAGAGGAACAGTTTTACATTTGATTATAGCAATTTATAAGTCATCCTTACATAAATGTGACTCATTGGGGGATTGGGGGGGAGGGGATTGTAAACAAAGCATGACATACAATCTAGTGTATGATGCCTCCTGACATCCTACCCACATTAAACTCGTGGACTGAACATAAACACACCCACAACCACCTATAACTGAACACAACACAATGGACAAAAACAAACAAATGGACAACTGTACCCTCATACACACAATAATAACATGGACTGAACCACCACTCCCAACCTCTAGCACTTTATATAGCCTCTGTAGAGATTATCCACATATTTCACTTATCTTAACTGCACTACTGTAAATGCTGTATAGACAATCATTCTGTACAATATGATAACTATAATTTTACAACTGTTTATAATTTGCATAGTTCATATTTCTGTATAGTTTTCATATTTATATCCTGGTCATAGCCTGTACATAGCTTGTACACTCACTACAGCCTGTACATACTTATAGTTACAGCATATTCATAACATACCTTCATACCGTGTGCATTGTAACATACCCATAATAGACCCATATTTTGTACCCTCATACCTATAACAGACCCATTTCTGTCATATATCTATATATCTATATTATTGCTAATATATATTTTGCAATATTATTGCTAAGCACTTTCTGGATGGATGCAAACTGCATTTCGTTGCCTTGTACTTGTGACATGTGCAATTACAATAAAGTTGAATTCTATTCTATCAAAAGTGTGATTTGATCTCTGCTACTGAAAATACTACTACTACTGTTGCTAATAATAATAATAAGAATAGCATAAATAATAGTAATAATATAGAGAACTCAGTTTCTGCTCATTTTGTTGTATTTTGTTGTCTTGCTGGAATCGTTATATATTTGTCTGAAATAATTAGAAAAGTGGACTATCACTGGATAAATACTAAAACGTCTGTGCTGGGCTAGTGGCCATTGTTTCATTACTTTAACAGCGTCGCTCGTGTCATCCACTCTGTGGCCTTATAAAGGCACAGTTATTGTGTAATCTCTCAGTAGCAAGTGGTATCATGTTCTCAAGAATGACGTTAACCCTCTCAGGCTCAAATTAAACTTTTTGTTGTTAATGCACAACCAAGTCCTGCAGTGGTACTTCTGAGTAAAAAAAACTCATAAAATATGTATATGGGGTAATCAGGTTGTTAGTTTTTAACTGTTGCAAATCGGCAACGCCTGCCTCAAGAGGGTTAAATATGTCATAAGGTAATGAGTTAGAAAATAATTATTTCATTCGCTATATGGTTCTTAAACTATCAAAGCTGACATACTCAAACTTCTCACATGACCTGGGAGTTCCTCTCCCAGGAACGGGGAATAGTTTTGGAAGAAACAAATTATGAAATTCCCAGTGTGTGTAACGCATAGAAGATTGTGACTGAGAACAAGACTTTAAGGATGTCATGCAGTCAAAAATGAGGTGCTCCTTTTTAATGTTAATTTGTTTTTATCTCAATGAAATATAACACCATTTGTTTTCATTTAGTACTGCTTTTTTTAGTGCTTTTGTGATTTGTAATATCGTTAAGTTAGTGTTTTGTGATACCTGCACATTTTTAAAATTATAATTGATTTGGCATGTAGCACTGGTGCATGCAGCATACTTAAAAACATACAATAAAATAGGTCTGTTTAGGCTTAAAAAATTGTCACTGAAATAAAATCCACAAACAACTGGTTTAACATCAAACAGTGATTTTTGATTTTATAAACCTCTGTACGTATTTTTAACATTTACAAGTATTTATCTGAATATATGCTTTCTACAGCTGTATGAGTACTAGATTTTTGATTTGGAAATTGAAAAAAAAAATACAATTAATAACGGTGATACCATTAGTCAAATTATTCTGTCACATTTTTTATTGTGTGATGTTCTTTTTTGAGATAAACTACAAACTATAAACAACAAGTGCATGGATGTGGCAAGAGCTTCTGTAACTAGTCTCTACAAAAGCATACAAAAAGAGCAATTACACTGACATTTCTGATCGTATCATACATGCATTATTGACACAATGCTACTACAATACATCATATTAATCCTAATCTTAATCTTGCAATTACTTCAGAACTCTACAAAGAAAAGTAGCTTGAGAGATTTTCAACACTCGCAATAGCATGACAAGACAGCGTAGCTAATTTTATTCACTGAGTTTTCATTGGGCAACATGACAGTCAATTTTTTTTCTTAATAATCAATAAGTATAATATGGCTAATACTACCCAGGTTATTATAATTTCTGATATTATATTACAGTGATTTTAAAGCATCATCTTACAGGCATGATGAAAATAAAGCCCTGCATTGGGGATGGTGAACAGCCTAGCTAGATGCAACTTCTGAAAACAGGTACTAGACTTTCCCCTCCTGCAGATGTTGGATCTATGAGGACTCTCAAGCTTCCAGCTAAGGACACCAGTGAGCTTCCTTCCATTTATCTTCTGTGGACGAGTTCATCATATGTATCTTTCTGGCCACCTCTCCTCAGAGGCTGTTGGAGAAAACAAGTCATTTGTTGTTTTCTTTTTTAGTGTTATTGTCACTTTCAGGTTTCAGCTTACCTGGTAGTGATCATTGGTTGGTCCTCTGCTTTCAGAAACAAGATGCTGTCTGTCGGAGCCTGAGGACACATGAGATAACATTATTGCAAAAGCAAAGCCTAATCGGAATCGATTGCTGAGTGTTTTTATTATCGGTAATACTGGTAATAATAATAATAACATTGCATTATAGATTTTTTTTAAGTGTTTATAGTCGTTATTTAAGGGATTATGATTTTTACATCTTTTTGATTTGATTTTGATTCATTAATTATAACTGATTTTCTTACGCCCATCGTCTTCTACCTACCGGACGAATATGACCAAGATTATGTGAACTGATTAAAAGATCAACACAGCATCCTCTAAAAGAAATGATTCTTGCAAATAATTAGAGAAGACGACGCTACATTGGAGAAAAAAAATAATGGTAAAGATTTGGGAATGTGTGTCAAAACTACAACAACGACTCGTTTTAAAACTTAGTTTTATGTGGAAAGTAAAAAACTGGTAAAACATGTAAGTGAAAATTATTTCTCTTAGATACTTTGGAGAATCCAAAAACTACTTAGGGATAATTCAAAATGTATTGCAAAGGAAAACAGATTTACTCCCACTGTTCATAAATGTTCTAAAGAAACAATAACCAAATCCTGCAAAATGATCAAAAAAGGACAGTCAGTATAACTGTTAGTTGCAAGTTTTGTGATATAAGTCCAATATCAAAGTAGTATTTTGTCCCACTCAAAAACAGTATATTTATAAAGTAATTCATAGATAGTAATTCGCAAAGTAGTTATTTCATGTAGTATATCATTCAATGTTTTCATACTTCTTTAAACACTATGGCAGGCAATAATATACCTGCAGTTATATATATTTGTTAATTATTTTAAATAATAAATATGTTTTCACAGTGATGTTTCCTGTGAAAACACAAAACATCTGATTTGTAATTATAAAATAATAATATGAAAATCATCATATTATCATTATCATACACTTCTGTATACATTTCTTTTTAAGTAATTTTGCTCCTGTTTGTTAAACCTAATAACTGTACCAGTTATTCAATATACCCATGGAATGTGCCATCTGTTATTTTAGTTATTTTAAGTATTCCGTAAAAAAACTTTGTTTTCACATAAGTAAACAAATATTATTTAGATGGATAAATAGTCTTTACTTTTACTCTTCTTGTTAGAGACGACAGGGCCGGTTCGAGTCTGAGAGGTCTGAGAAGCGATGAGATAGACACCCACTCCTACCACAATGGTAGCCACCACATTTCCTATGACCATGCTTATTAAGGAAGGTGTATCAACTTCTACACAGCTGTCACAGGCTGGAGAAACACACACACAAACACACATTGTGTATGAATACAGGTGCTGACATTTTTTCCTCAACATTACAGTTGAAAGGTAAGTGATAAAAGAGTACAAACAATATAAAAAAAATTAAGCATTTTCTTTTCATATTATGAACACAAGTTTTCCTACAGAACTTACTGCGGAATTTCACAAAGATTAGATCATTTTCTCCACATTTGTATTCTCCTGTGCTGTCATCTTTGTATGGCAAATGAAGACTTTTTGTGTTAACACCACCCACAGTACTTGATGTAACATTTATTTTATCATCACTACAAGACAGCGCGATTCCATCGGCGACCTCTTTCACCTGTAGCTCAACTGGGGTTTGAGAAAACAGAAATATTAAAACAGTGCAAGCCTGTTTAGATATGCAGCAGCTTCTGTTACTTAACTGCTATTTGTAAATTACCACATATTTGCTATAATACTACATAGCCCCATCTAAAGATTAAATTAATCTTCTTACCATCTTTTTTGTCCTGACAGCTGACAAACACTGCAAGACAAATGTGGGGAGAAAAATGAAAACATTTACTGTTAATTTAAAAAACACATCCAACTCTGAAACATTCAAAGTCAACATTAAATGCATATCACTGAATTATGATTTCTACAATGATTTTCATTTCATGTCAACATGAAACAAATTTCCCACGTGTGGGACTAATAAAGTCCCAGGTCTTATCTTGTCTTATGTCAGTGTGGGGAAAATGGTGTGGCAGGCCTACCTGTGAAGGTCCAAAGCAGCAGCAAACAGGAGGCCAAAGCAAAGAGATTCTTCATCGTTCCTGTGAGTTCTGCTGCTGATAGAAGGAAACAGTTCAGTTCCCTGCAAGTAAGAGTGAGCGAACTACAGAACAACAGGAAGTACGCCATTTTCTACTTCATGTCAACCATTTATTGGACTTACAGAGACAGATAATAGATGATGAAATACAACATTTAGGGTGCTATTCAGAGGAAATCGATTTAGTTAGCCAAGAATACAAACTCTGAAACCAGGTTTAATTTATTTTATTCCTAAAATTCAAGCTTTACACATTATTAACTCTAAATGAAATAACAATGTCAACACTTAATATCAACACAACATAATATCAACTTTTAAATAAAAGCACTGACCACAAAATGAAGAACTGTGGGTCTCAGTTGCCGAGCATCCAGTCTCTGTCTGTCAGAGTCTCAGTCTCTCTGTGCATGTGCATGAAACGGAAGTGAATGTGATTGGTTTATCTTCTGTCTCAGCAGGCTTTGTTGATTCCTACATCTGGAGGAGCCTGACTGTGACTTTGACATGTTCAGATGCACTTAGCTAATAATATTTATTACACTCTCACCAACACAAGCAACATTTTAAGTTGCAGTCGAGTATTTTGAACTTGTCACAACAAAAATCAGTTTAGTGCAGTTTCAACACTAAAGCCTCACTGAACTGTTCACTCATTTCCTGTTTGATCACTAAACTTCATGTTTGTTGTATATGTAATAAGATTAAAATGTTGTGGGTATTGAAACTCTTTTTTTTCCCCTACCCACGTGATTTTTTTGTCATGGCAGCTTTCACATCTTACAAAACACACGAACAACAACCGGAGAAGAAAATTCCGTCTTATGGGAATGACTGATCAGCCTGTTGACAGTAATTGCTGCTTGGTGTACGCTTGCTCTGGGATATGTTCGTGCCGGTGGTGGTGAGCAGCTCCATCTGGTAAAACGAAGGCACAAACACAACCGTGTGTGTTCAGATGAATATTTTAATTCCCCCGTGTGTTGTGAATGTTTTCTTTTCCCACTATGTGTGTGACAGACTGCATTTACTGTACAGAGCAGAAGAAAAACAGAGAGAAAGCAAATAGATGCTCCCACAACACAACTCAACTTCCTGTTTGATGAAAAGCCACAGGAACCTGTGACCCAGAGCTAACACCTGGCACACACACACACACACACACACACAGTTAAACCTAAAGAGCTAGATTATTCTTCTCCTGCACCTGCTACAGCTATAGAGTACCCAATTACGTTTCCCCCAAATGCAACAGTGCCTTCTCCATCACACAACACTTATTGCTAGAACTATGCCAACAACACACGACTCTCATCGTAAACCGCTCTGCAGCGCCCCCTGGTGAGTGTTGATTGCAACCACAGCATTTTCCAGCTTTTGCCTCCACACAGTCTCCATATTATCTTTATTAGACATCTTCTTTTATACACATATACATATGCATACAAATATACAGTACATTGCATCTTAACATTCCCATGACCAAATACATATTCTATAATTATGCACCATTTTATTCAGGTATCAGTGTTAGCATAGAACATTTAATGCATTCCAGTAATGCAACACAGAGGAGGGACATTATGAGCATGTTTACAGGAGATCATGTCGAAACAAACTGAAAGATGAGCGCTTCATTTGCAGTTCATACTGTTGAGACAACATGTCAGCAGTGTAAATACCGAGCACTTGGTAACAAACACACAGACAGTTTCCTTGTGTGGTTATGAAACTCGTGATCATGTCGATGCGGCCAGCAGAATGGTGTTAAACTCCACCAACAAGATCCTGGATCCTGTTCGTGTCAGTCCAGCCTGAGTTGTTGGTTGAGTGGCAGTTGCTCTGGGTTTCCTCCGGGACGGCTGGACTGTTTTGAAGTAGCATGCATGTACAGTATGTGTGTTACATTCAGGAACGTCAGAGCCAGATCTCCTCGCTGCTTGTGCTGTTCACCTTATAGATGTAGCCCACCATCGGATATCTGGCAAAACCTGGAAACATTAGGGGGGAAAGAAAGAACGCTAATGTTCCTTGATACAAAAACTTATGTTAAAGTATTTTAAAAAGTGAAGAAAAAACTCAACAGGATCAGGAGTATTTCCCTGACCTCTGGCAGCATAGGCTAAAGATAGATCTTCCTCCTCTTCCTCTTTCTTCTCCTCTCCCACACTGTTCTGCTGGGCGGCCTCTCGGGCTACAAAAAGTGATACAGGAAAGATGGAGGATGCAGTAGTATGTAAGATGTTATCCTTTTTTGGTGGGGAAGTTGTGGTGAGATTTTTAAAATCAAGTTAAAGTGTATTCACATTACAGTAACATTACAGTAACATTTGGGATAGGCTCCAGGACGTGGTTCAGAAGGATGGATAGAAACTGATAAAACTGTCACACCTAGCTAGATACTTGCTGTAGCTAACAGGCTAAACGGAATCAGAAATACAAATAAAATGGCTAAAAAGCTAAAACATTCCATTGAAGCTTACAAATTAACATACCATCAACTATTTATTTAACCTATTAAAAGCAGTCTGTAAAAACCCAACATGTAACAATGCATTTCTTGGAGGGGGCTGATGTGCTGCAGTACTTCCTAACCAATCACAATGTATGCTAAGCTAAATTTATGTTAAGCTAAGCTAGGTTTAGCTACCACACGACATAAATAATAAAATAAAATAAATAATCAAAATAACTTGCCAAACCGAAAAATAACTTACAAAGAATTCAATTAAATTTGCATCTCTGTGTGTGTGCGTGCGTGTGTGTGCGCACTCTAGATAAAACCAAAACAAAAAAGTTAAGACAGATAAGTCTAGCTAACGTTTTTCCTGACCTTCTGTTTGCTTTACTGACAGATAAGCAGGTGATTGTTCTGGTGAAGAACCAGAGTGACTGGTATATTGGTGGCTGTCTGGAAACCCAGAGAAACAGGTTTCAATAGACACATCTCAGAAGTGAAGTCTGGTTGTAATCCTTTCTCTAACTGTGAGCAAGAAAGCAAACTAGTAGGTTCCCAAAAACTGTTTAGCATCTAAAGCAACTCTTGTTCCCTCTCTCACCTTCATGTAATCTCCTTCAGAGAATTAAATGTATTTAAAAATATGACATCAGGTACTTTCACAGTAAACTTTCTGGGATCATTATCATTCATTATCCAGTTTTGAAATGGTGTAAATCCTGTGCATTAATACTAAATAATTATTTTCCCTCTTTGTGATCTGATTGATTTTAATAGAAGAACATAACCACAACAGGGCGGCTCATTTCTGAATAAAAAAGCATGGATCTAATCTAAGTAGTGCCCAAATGGATGCCTAGAATTCCAAATGATCAAGAAATGACAGACTGATTGCTCTTACCAAGATCTTGGAGAACACATTTTACACCAAGATTGATAACGTTAATTATTGTTGATAACGATTTATTGTTAAAGTGTTGTATTCTTAAACTGTTTGCACGGTCAGATTCTGTGCTGTGGTTAAACTGTGGTAAATGTACCTTTCTTTAAAGTGCTGAGGTCGTTGAGCTGCATGTTTGAAGGCAGGGACATGTTCTCTCTGGGGATGTGGGTCTTATCAGTTTTATCCGGCTTCAGATTGGCTGACTCGCTGTGTGGAAGATATCAAACTTGGATTAGAGATGGTATTGATCTGTAGGATGCACATAAAGTATTCTTAAGAGCAGAGAAATGCTTTCAGCAGTGTTTTCAGTCCGCTAATGCGCTGAGGTGGAAATTATTAAGGGAGATGTGAAATATGGATGCGCTGGAATACAGAGATGGTGTCGGTGTGGTGTCAATCAAACGTTGAAGATTCAGAAAGAATAATGGCAATGACTGCTGAGATTTCCACTTTTTTGTGCTGTAACATCACAAGTCTGCCCTCCTTGCTTACCTCTTCTTGGTCATCACAATCTCCACTGTATCCTCTGTAACATCAAACGGGGATGTGTGTTAGTCTGCTGAAGAATACATTAAGAATACATGCTGCAATCAAATTTTCCAGCTGGTTTCTTCACTGCATGCATGCACACTTGAGTCTCACCAATAGACTTGCTCTTGTTTTTTTGCATGAGGCAGAGGACTATCAGGCTGAGGATGAGCAGGGCCATAAAGGCCATGGCTCCTCCGGTCACGATTCCCAGCATGGGCACCTCCACACGAGACTGCAGGAACTCTGGAGACAGAAAGTGGAGAGTTTAAAGGAATAATTCCACATGTTTTGGGTTTTTTTTCACTTTTTCTTTTAGTGATCTCATAATTGCATGGTAAACAGGAAACTAAGGCCAAGAGATGTGCTGTAGAGGTCCTGATGACTGTATTATTATCACATGTAGTTTCTCAAGTCATGGTAAATTTGTCTCACCTGCCAGTGTGAGGTTGCTTTGCGCCGTTCCCACGCTGTTGCTGGCATTCAACGAGACATTTCCTGATAGACTGCTGAGCGTGACTCTCAGCGTGTGATTGGTCAGCCAGGGGTAGCTTCGTGAGTCCAGAATGAGGAAGTCAGAGGTATTGGCCACCAACTGGCCGGACTGGTCAACAAAGGTGATCGTGGCAGGTGGATTTGACCGCACCAAGGCGAAGAGGACTAAGGAGAGTCCGGGGTGTGAGGTTTCACTATAGTGGGCATTCACCGTGAGGATTTCTGGCTGGACTGAGACACAGAGAAAGAGCAATTCAGCATTTCGTCAAATGCATCAGGTGAAGACACATGGGCCCACTTACTCACACTGTACATTGAGCGTGACCGTGGCGTTGTAGCTCTCGCCTGTCCTGGGGTTTGATGCGACACACACCAGTTCCCTGTCCCACTTTCTGGCCCTCAAAGAGAAGGTGCTGTTGTGATTGGACCCCGGTCTCATCACCTCAGAATCCTCTTGTGATGTCATGACCAGACGGCCACGGTTTGGCGATGGATCTCTCTGCTGCTCGCCGTTCAAATACCAGGTCAACATGGGAGGGGCGTGGGGGTCCCAGCCATCTGAATGGCAGTTGAACCGGTGTGTCACATTCTCCTGCAGCGTCACACCTCCCCGGTGCCATCCGTCAATTTTAGGAATGGGCTCAATTGCACCTATAGGTACAAGAGTAGCACTAATATATTATGGTTCATTCATCCATCCAACCATCCATTCTCTGACGCTTATCTAGGTTTGGATCATGGGGGTAGAAGTCTGAGCAGAGAAGCCCACACTTTCCTCACTCCAGCCATCTCATCCAGCTGGAATAACAAGTCACAAGCCAAGCCAGTTGAGAGATATAATCTTTCCAGTCCTGGGAGGCATCCATGAGATATATTAGTGGCGTTCGATGTGGAAGAGCATCAACTCTATTCTGAGTCCCTCTTGAATGACTCTAAGGGAAACCCCGGCCACTCTTCGAAGGAAATTAATTTCTGCTGCTTGTATCTGCAAACTCATTCTTTCCATCACTACCCAGAGCTCATGACCATAGGTGATGATAGGAACGTAGACTGACTGGTATTTTGACAGTTTCGTTTTTATGCTCAGCTCTCGTTTCAATGCAAATTCAACATTTGAATAAGGCAGATGTTCTCACTCATCAACTCCACTGTCACTAGACTCAAGCTGTTACATTGTTCACAGCTGGATTTCTCACACGTAGCACACAACGCAGTTCTCACTTTCGGCTAGAGCAACAGAGTTCAGGAGGCAGGAGATATGATGCCCCCTCTAGTGCACAAATCCACTTTTTAAATTTTTTTTACACCGGATCAGTCCAACCTCACCTGGACCGTGTACCAGTGAGCATAGGGTTATAGTTTAATGTACTGTTGTTCTAAGCCTGACATTTTCATTCTCACGTGTACCCCTGGAAGGTGCAGGCCTGAACCTTAGAATAAATACATTTATATATACATTTACAGCTTTAAGGAAAAACTCCAGTAAATATGTAGGAAAATTGTAGATAGCCTTTTGTGCCTCTAGAGGGAGCTGTCAGAAGTCTGATTATTGCCTACAGCAGTGTCTCTCCAGTCTGTGGCCTTGCTCCTTGTCTCTTCTTAAGACTAACAGCGCAAGGATTCAGTAGGACCTACAAAAATACCACCCAGCTCTTGATGGTCAAATTGCATTGTGGGTAAGGTGAGCAACATGTTGTGCAAAGCTTCACTGGAGGTTTAATATATATGTATATATAAAGCAGTTGACGGGAAACTTTGAATGCAATGCAGTCTCTACACAGGCACTGACAGGCCCGTCATTCTTTAGTATCTTGTCAAATATAGGGTATGTACAATGTACCCCATCACTACAATGCAAAACACTGACGGGCGGCTGGGATCAGTACACGCAAGACCAGAGAAGGAGGAATATCTAGTGTTTGCTTTCCTGCTGTATAGGTCATGTGATCTGTGGGAGAAACCAGGAGGAGAGCAGGAACTGAGCCATCTAAGAAACACACACACAATCCAACATGTATGAGGACAACCAAGAAAATTCTTAGCTGAGCTCATATATGCGCAAGATAGCAGCGGACAGATGTTTGCAGCCAGGTGGAAGAGATGCTTTGCACTGACAATCGTAGGAATCTGATCGCCAGCAAGATGCTATATATTACAGTGCAGGTCTACACACATGCACACACACATTATGCACTCTCTTAGGCTGCATGCAGTGCAGCTGTGTGCGCTTAAATACACAGCAAAAGTCCTCTATAACACACAGTATTACCTCAGCCCTTTCTGCAGATGCTGCTGCGATTCAGCCTGCTGGAGCTCCATGGCAGCAGAGGAGGAGGAGAGGAAAGGATGGCGATGACAGCGGAGAGATGAGAGGCAGCCCTCCCTGACTCAGTTGCTTTCCCATCTGCGTGCACTCATACACTTACACACATACGCGCACACACACACACACACACACACAGGGATCTCTGCAGGATACGGCAACCTCCAGTAGCAGCTTTCACTAGCTGGCAAAGGCTGGCTGACGCAGGCAGTCACAGTGTCGCCACTCGGAGGAGAGGAGAGCAGAAGGGAGGGGAGGGTGGGAGAATAGGAGAAAGAAGAATGATGTAGAGAGAGAAGCGTAGTAAGGAAGAAGAGAGCGGGCACAGAGTCATGAGGGAAGAAAGAAAGTGATGGTGTGGGGGAGGAGACAAGGATGCAGCGTCGAGTAAAGCCAGAAAACTGTCAGTTCCCAGGGATTAACACATAATCTCCTGTCATCCATCACCCAGTTCCATCATTAGGCATGTTAAAGTGAACCCATGTTCTACAAACACAGACACACGACAAGTCAGCGCTCGGATACCGCCGACCGAAAAGCCTCTGCAGTGCAGCTACACAGATCAGAGCAGCAGCATGCAGAGCACTGCAGCCAGAAGGCAGACAAAAGAAACAAGCTCATACAATAGGGGGCTATGTTTCCATTGTGTCATCAACCTGTGACTTATAATGAGAACTTATTCATCTTAAGGGTACAGTAGCCTAATTCTCAGTAGAGAAGTCACTGATTTAATTATGCAGCTGTTATTCGTTCAGTGGAAACGCCTCTCTGCGTGTTCTTTTCTCCAGGACAGTCATCTGTGTGATTGCATAGTAGAGGGTTAGGAAACATTTAGAGTTTAGGACTATCGTGGCTCAAGAGTTGGGTGTTCGTCTTGTAATCGGAAGGTTGCCTACTGGTGATGGCCAGAGGGGCCGATGGCGCAATATGGCAGCCTCGCTTCTGTCAGTCTGCCCCTAGCTGTGGCTACAACAGCTACAACTGTAGCTTGCCTCCACCAGTGTATGAATGTGAGAGTGAATGAATAGTGGTATTGTAAAGCGCTTTGAGGGGTCCTGAAAAGCGCTATATAAATGCAATCCATTATTATTATAAACGGAACATTTCAGTGTGTACAGACAGCTGTGTAAACCGTGTCAACACACTTCTACACTCACCCAGCTGAAAAGACTGCTTAGTCAAACGCACCATTCACCTGGACACCATTAATAAAAGGAATGTGCTCGGTTACTTCACAAGCATAATCAAACAGACAGACCTACAACAAGTCTGATCTGCATTATCTGTCAAAGTGACGATTTTTGCGCTTTGTCTTATGTATTTGCTTCTCTCTTGAAACCTGTAGGTTTCTGTTTATTTCCAGGCTGCAGTGATATGACATCATTAGCAATTTCCAAGACTTCAAATGAGCCGTTGTCAAACTGAAGGCAGGATGTCTTATTGCACATATTTCAGTATTGGAATAACTTGAAGATCTTATAGTGTCATCACTCAAATATCTAATCCTGTTTGCTTTAGTTATTATTCAGGTAATTAGTTCTTGAGCTGACAATTTGATTGGCATTCTCGTTTGGTAAACTGGCATTTGATGTAGTCCATAAAGACAGCTGTTTAACAATAAATGCTGAGGACTTACAAGTCAGTCCCATGCAAGCTCTCCATGGACTTCTGCAAGATTCCATCCAACCATCCATTCTCTGACGCTTATCTAGGTTTGGATCATGGGGGTAGAAGTCTGAGCAGAGAAGCCCACACTTTCCTCACTCCAGCCATCTCATCCAGCTGGAATAACAAGTCACAAGCCAAGCCAGTTGAGAGATATAATCTTTCCAGTCCTGGGTCTGGGGCCTCCTCTCAGTAAGATATGCCCAGAATGCCTCACCTAGGAGGCATCCATGAGATATATTAGTGGCGTTCGATGTGGAAGAGCATCAACTCTATTCTGAGTCTCTCTTGAATGACTCTAAGGGAAACCCCGGCCACTCTTCGAAGGAAATTAATTTCTGCTGCTTGTATCTGCAAACTCATTCTTTCCGTCACTACCCAGAGCTCATGACCATAGGTGATGATAGGAACGTAGACTGACTGGTATTTTGACAGTTTCGTTTTTATGCTCAGCTCTCGTTTCAACATATCAGTTCAGCATCCACATTATTGCGGACGCCGCCCCATCCGTCTGTCAAAGCACCCCCCACCCCCCACATTATACCCTGAGGGACCCAGTCAAATAACTTGTCCAGGTCCACAGAAACACATGTAGACCTGCTGGGCGAACACCCTCAAATATTCTTGAGAGGATAAACAACTGGTCTGGTGTTCCAAGACCAACCCAGGGGCCCTGCCACCGTGCAGTAACCACATCAGTGATAGGTGAGTCATCCCCTTCCTCCCCAGACTCTACTTTAATGATAGAAGGCGTGACTATAGGATTGAGGACGTCCTCAAAGTGTTCTTTCCACCACCTGACTAAATCCTCAGTTGAGGTCAGCAGCATCCCACCACTCTAAATAGTGTGTGTGGAATACCAGTGTGTGGAATACCAGTGTGTGGAATGCCAGTTTCAATTGAGGTCAATCAAAAGTCTTGTTCTACGGTCTCACTGAAATCCCTGACAGAAATTTGGAACTAGCAGATCTCTTAATAGGGTTGAGTAGCTTTTGCAAGTAAAGCCTTGGTAAGGGAGGAGACCAAGAACCCAGTCGTCCCTTTGACACAGCTTCAGCCCTCAGCAGCCCAAAGACACAGTGGTAAAGACGGCTGTCTCAGTTACACTTAATCAGCTGCTTATGGAGGAGTAGGCCTCTCTTGGATAAAAATAGACAGTCTACTTTGTGCTGGAGCCAAACTGCACTGCTCTGCTAATACCCTCCCTACAGTGAAGCACAATGGCGGCATCAAGCTGTGAGGAGTAACAGGGATGTCCTTGAGGAACAAGAACTATGTAGTGCATGAAAAATATTAGTAGGAAGAAACTGAGTGTGCAGCCTGCACTAGAGTGTCTTCAAACCATGTCTGGTCATGTCAACGTTTGGCCAAATCACTCTTGACCCTACAGTCACGATGTTGTAATCCGGGCACAAGAAATTTCACTTGATTTCTCTTTATAAGTTTCGTGCGAGCAGGTACAACAAAGACAAACTGGTCAACCTTTTTAAATTATTTCTTTATTTATATATATTTATTTATTCATCTCAGTTTGGTTGATATTCTTTTTAATCATTGTTGTTGCACTTTAGTATTTTTGTACTCAACAAAAAAGAAAAATAAAAACAACAAAAAGGTAGACAAAAAAAGAACCAATAGAAAACAAAATGAACCTAAGAAACAGGAGTGGAGCAGAGAGCTGGCTTGCTGGGATGGAGAGAGAAGATGGAAGTCAGGGGTGGAAGAGTTAATACATTAAAATAAAACAAAAAAGAGGAAGGATCATTCTGATCAGGCAGATGTGTGCGATTCAGCTCAGTGCTGTGCTTTCCATTCCAGTGTGCTCCCCCTCGACCTTTACATACAGCTCTGGAACTGGACACAACGCAAACAACAAGAGGAGCTTCTGGAGTTGCGTCTCTTGTCCAGCCAATGGGACGAGAGATGCATCTTCCATCCCCATTATTTCCCTTTTCCATACTCAATCCTTTCCCCTTCAGTTCTTGATTTTGGCTTGGTGTAAACAATGAGAAAAAAAACAAAAATAACAGGAGGTCAGATCTGAAAGAGGAACGACTGAGATCTGGAGGAAACTCTCGAGTTAGATTGGAAGGTTGTCTTCTGTCCAATTAAAACACGGTTTGGACGGAAGAGCATGCACATCAGCTTCCCTGTTCACATCTGTGCGTACACTTTGTTTTAGAGATACAACTGCTAAGAAGGAACCGCGGGCCTGAATAAAAGCAAATGTCAGTAAACAGGAAGTGACATGCTGCAAATGGAAAGCACAAGCGCCGCATGACACCACCTACAGTTCTCGGGCGTATATAGCGTACAATATGGCAACCAGCGCAGCCAGGTCCTGCGGCGTCTCCCTTGTACAAGCACACAAGTGGAGCTTGATTGTTTTGCGCCGCAGTCCACTTGCTGGCCCAATATTGAGTACTGATTTATGAGAGGATAGATACAGAACAACAAACCAAATTTGAAAAACAAAGAGGAAGAAAAGGGAGGTGCAGTCCTCTGCTGTGGTCCCCAGTGTGCTGCAGGGCACACACCTTGGGAGACTAGCGTAAAGGTGGGTGTACCCTTCCCAGCTCAGCTCTGACCACACCTTTCCTTTTTTTTGGAGAATCCAAATAATTTATTCCTATGGTTACCTCCTTATACATTTTCCCTTTTACAGTTCGGAGGGATGTCCAGGTGTATCCAAACTGTTCATGCAGCCATCACCTCCACCCGGGGTTAGAGTGAAACAAAATCACAAATGAATCCAAAAGAGGGGAACGTGTGGGGGATGAGCCGCAGCTGCAGTGTCCTCCTTGGTGGTAACATTGTTAGCCTGGGAGGAGGGGGCCAAGTCTGTAAGGCGCCGTCTGATCAGAAGCCGACATAGTAAAAGATGGCGGGGAGGATCACAGCAGACTGGTAGGTAGGGCAGCAAGAGGGAGAAATAGAAGTGGGTTTGTCCGTGACCACACTTGTGATGTTTCTTTTTTGGATGATATGTCAGCTATTTTACAAGATATTCCCTCATTTTTTTGTCTTTTTTGTAGTTTGTTTTGTTTTTCCTTTAAGAGCATCAAGTCAAGTAGCACCCGAACCAACCCAGACAATAGCCCGAAAGCCTGACCCTGTTAAGCCTGCCACAACTACCCCGTTTACAGAAAACAGGCCCCCCAACATCAACGAGAATGACAGTCACAACAACATCGATTGAAATGATACTTTAAAAAGCAACACAAAATAATTACTCTCCTCTTATTCAAGTGTCTCGATATCATAATAACATTAAAACAAATAAGAACAATCGCTTTTTTTAACGACACAGGAAGAGCACCGTCTCTCTTCTCTCTGTCCTCTTTTGGCTAGAAATCTCAAGATTCATAAAACAAGAAGAAAACATTTTTTCTCAAGACATCAAAAAAAAAAAAAATAATACAAATACAAATGATAAACAATACCAATATACTTTTTTAAAAAAAAGAAGAAAAATAAAGCCTCCCCAACATCATCTAAAAACAAAAACAGAACAGAAACTAAAGTTTAGATACAGAAATTTGCAATAGCGTTCTATACATGGCATCACTGTACAAGGAAAGGAGCAAAATGTCTGGTAAAACTACCCACAATGCAATACACTGTCACTGACGTGGGGGGAGGAGGGGGGAGAACACAAAGTGGGGAAAGTTTAGAGGTTGGAGGGGATGGGGAGGGTGGATTGAAAACCAAGCTGACAGTATGGCAGAGAGCGAGGAACTGCGATGAAGGGTGGAAGCTGACGGAGGAAAGCTGGAACCGAAAGTGCTGAATTACTTAAGTCATAGAACAAAGTTTGTATTCCTTGTAACACAGAACCGTTTCCTTTAATAATAATAATAATAATAATAATAATAATAATGATAACAATCATCATAGTAAAACTTCTTTTACAGAAAAACAGTAATAACAATAAGAGTAACAATATCGAACATAATGCCAACGTGGACATTAGCTGTAAAAATGAATTTTAAAATAAAATAAAATTTAAAAAACAAACAAAAGTAAAACAATAGAAGAAATGAATGCCAGAAAAATAACAAAGACCAAAACAATTAGAGCTGGTTTGTCCTGTGCGATGTCACTGAGCTCCATCTTTGGATAGAGCGCTTTTGTTGCCCAGTTGGGAGCCTGACCCAAAACGCCCGCCGCCTGGCCGGGTGAGGGGGCGGCCACCGCTGAGGTTTCAGCCCGCTCTGGAATGATCTGCTGCAGGACAGCAGGAGGAGAGGAGAGAGGGGAGGAGCAGACTGAAATTCATAGACACCCTCGGCTCACCCCTCTCATTCATTCACACACACAAACACACACACACGCAGTCGCACCTAATGTGAATACTTTGGGTTTGTGGCAGCAGTGTGGACGTTTCTTTGTGTCGCTGAACTCGACGTTCTTGCAAGTATTACTGTATCGATGCATCGGCCAGTGAGGCACATAATGAAGTATGCCGACAGAGAAAAGGGGAGGTTTGGGTCAGGCGGCTACAAGGTGGGTGTGGGGTGAGCTGGGCGGGCCAGATTTGTAGATGGGGGGGAAGAGGGGAAAGGCGGGTGGGGTCGAGATGAAAAAGGGAAGAGCGGAGCCCCAGTCTACCCACGGCGGGAGCTGCGAAGAGGAGACGACCTGCAGGAATGAATGCTGGATGTCTGTGCAGAAAATGCTGGCACTTTGACCTTTGAACCCCGAGGCTCCACCTGAGACCCTCACCCCTCTAATGTCTACACCCACCCACCACATACACCCACACCCTCTCTCGCGCAAACTGCCCTCCCAGGGGACAGATGGAGACAGACAGATGGACACAGAAGCGCCCCTGCTTGGGCAGACGACGATGGTTTGGCGTGATGCTGCACAACTCAAGTCAACACAACTCAGGATGGCTGATATGGACCGATGGACACAGGATACGCCGCTTCCTGCAGGAAGACAGAGGGTAAAAAGAAACAATGTTCTCAATCATTTTGCAGCTGATCTACCAAAATCTACATCAGTTGTTATCAAGTATTTAAGATTAAAGAAGTGATGTTTGAGGCCTCACACACACTTTAAGGTTGACTTCACATTCACTGTGTGTACCTGTGCTAGACCCCAGCCTGCTCCATGCTGTACTGCAGGTCAGGGGGCTTGTAGCTAAGGAGCATGTCACTGGTGCAGGAGGAGGGATAGCAGGCTGCCGCATGGAGCTCCCCTTCAACGTCGCACACTGCATGGGAAACACACATCTTTAACTGATGAGGAAACACAGAATACTGTTTTTGGGGTAACTACAGGTCTCATACTGACCCGATTCTTCCCGCTGGTGTAGCTGCTGGCTTCCTGTCAGCGAAGTCTGGCTGAGAATGTCCGACATGCGAGCGGAGCTTAGCGCCTTCCCAGCCAGCAAGCTCATCCCAGACATGGGGTCTGCCTGATCCTGGAACAGGAAGCGAACGACAGTTTAGAGGCAGGAAAAATGAATCGTGTTTAATAAACGGCTTCTAGCGGAAACAGTGAGTCAGAATTTGGATGTTGTGAGCATCCTTGCAGTGTGTTGATGCCCTCTTGGTTCATTTAGTCATACAAACAAACATACGCTTTCTTCGTTCTGCTAAGTGGGTGTTCTCCAGCACTGCACTGGCAGAGAAGGTGAGCTAAGATCCCATATCCTCCAAAAGGACAGCGAGCCAATATTAAAATGACATACAAATGTGATTGTTTCTGCCAGCCCACCAAACCCACCAAAGCAACAGGATGGAATTTAACACTGAATTGTTTTTATTTTATCTAGTTGGAAGCTGATGTAAATGTAAAAAAAAACCCCCAACAACAACAACCCCCCCCCCACAAAAACCTACTAGAACCCACACTTAATGATCAATGTAGTGTGTAAGCATAGCAGCAGTATTTGACTCACATAAGCATCATCACAAGTCTGGATGGTGTGGTGGCGCTGCAGCTGTCCTCTGGATCTGTAAACCTCCCCCTGGGGGCCTCGCGAGTAGCCCACACCATTATGATCAGGCACTTCCATGGCCTGTCCTTGAGGCCTGCACTCCACATGCTCAGACTCTGAAAAGGAAATATTTTGTACAGGTTTACCTCGTGGCTTTAACATACAGGAAAAGAACATAAATTTAAAGGCGGGAAAAAAATATTCCAGTTAAGACAGACACTGGATTCCAGATCTTTAGAGAAAGCATTGAAATTGGGGTAAGGTCTCACCTCTGTTACCTGTGCCAGTTCTTATGTAGCCACCATGCCTGTGTGTAGGGGAGGTGTAGGGTGGGGTGCCTCCTCGGGGAGGCCCCAGGAGCTCATGTCCTTCTCCTGTCTTGGCAAGAAGGCCTTCGTGTGGGTGATGGTAGCTAGCCGGTACCTCGTCCTCCTCCATGCTCTCTGAGTGAGGTAAGCTGGGGCACGGTGCCTGCTGCTGTTGCTGGACCTCCGGGGGTCTGATCTGAAGGAGGTGGTGGTAGTGTTGCCCTCCAGAGGCACCCTGAGGTGCCTGTGGTTCCAAGCTTTCTCCTGGGCCTAGCTGGCGGAGAAGAAGCATATCTCCATACTCTTGTGGCGCACCGCTGGGTGGTGTCGGGGGTGCCGGACATGGCCGGGGGCTCTGCCTTTTCAGCAGGGCAGCCAGGTCCTGTGGGGGCAGTCTGGGATCAGCGTGGCCTGTTAAAGAGTGGCGGGGAGACAGGAGGCCCTGCAGGGTGGGAGTGACGTGCTGCTGAGGGGGGCGGTAGTCCAAAGGAGTTGGGGAGAGGAGAGCCTGCTGTAGTGTGGAAGGGGCTCCGTAGTTGTTGGTCCCCACCGCCCCGGTCTGGTAACCCTCCAGGCCGGGAACTTTAAGGGAGGCTCCCTGCAGGTAGGGGCTGTAGGACCCCACCACGCCTGAGGCGCCTCGGGAGGCAGCGTCGCCAGAGTAGAGGTGGGGATTGAACTGGGCCTGGTCGTAGCCCGATGTGAAGCGGCCAAGGCTGCGGCTAAACAGGAGGGAACACACACAGTAATTACCTACCTGCTGTCTAACAACAATGTACTCCCAATCCTCTGTATACACAGCAAACACATCACCTAACGTCCACCAATCTGCTAAAGATCCACAGAGACAGCCTAGAACACACATCACACGCTGCTCCAGGTTCAAGTATTCACTGAGAGGTGTAACATATTTCCAAAGGACGTTTTTTAATAAAGATTGCAACTTCAAGATTGTAACATGCTCACTCAGTGAAGGTAGTCCTGGCTACAAGGGGCAGTTATGGGATAATGAAGTCAAGGGTGGTGGTCACAGGTTTGACTGACCTCCTACTCGAGTTGATGCTCTGTTTACATGCAGAAACTCACCCAGATACACTGAGCTGGAGAGTTTGTTGTTGCTGTCCACTCAGCACAGACGATGAGGGATTTACAGTCATTTTAAACACATTTCAAACAAAGTTATAATTCTTACGTCTGCTCTTTTACGAACAAAGTCCAGAGCAACGAGTTTTCAAAATACAGTTGTAAAAAAAATCATTTAATATGGAAGCAATGAAAACACAAACAAAAACAAAAAAATGAGAAGTATACAGTGAGAAAAACAAAACAAAAAAAACAATGCAATGAATGTGAGAGAGGGAGAGTGGTGAGTTCATGCAATCTAACTAAAAGGCAAAGAGGAGGACACAGAAATAGTCCATTGCTGGCGACCATCAGGGGAGAGGGGGGGGTTGTGGTGACATGATGCGAGCGTCACCTGTGCGACTCGGCGTTGTCTGCGCTGAGCTGCTTCCCGAGGACTCTGTGTCCGCCTGGCGTGGACAAAAAGTTGCTCTGCCTCTGTGCCCCACCTCCCAGCTCCACCTCCTGCACCTGAATGGTCACCTGCACAACAAAGGATGGTGTTCGTTAGTGACTGCAGCATCGCTTCACGACTAATTAAATACATTCTAGCTCGTGACAGCAAAATTTTAAAAAAAAGTCGGATATTATGTTTGATTCAGTTATAGGAGGGATTTCAAACTCATTTTACATCGTGGGCCATGTTCAACCCACTTTGACCTTAAGTGGGTCAAACCAATTGAAGCAGAATTGAAATTTTAACAGCACGTCTCAGTTTTTCTGTATAATAAACGTGTCAGATTAGTGAAAATGTTCTGGTAGCTCACTGCTCAGACATTCCTGCAGTTATAAAACAGTGTTTCTGTCATTTAACAGTTTAACTGTTACCCAGCTACTTTGGTATAGTATGAATGGCACTGGCGGTGCACTCCTTTACATTTTACAATGCCATCCAGTGGGCCGGACTGAAGTCTTTGTCGGGCCAGTTATGGCCCCTGGGCCTCATGTTTGACACCTCTGAATTAGAAGGAATTCCTCAGAAGACAAAAAACCCCACATTTGATTGGCTCTTTGCAGTCACCTGCTGTTGTTGAGGTACACCCTGTGCCAATGGGACAGTGGGGCGGGCAGATGCTGCTTGTGGATTGGTTGGCAGAGACACTCGAGGAAGGCCCGTGGGAGGCGGGCTGCCACTCTGCCCCTGGTACATGGCTGGAGCGCCATGTTGGTACTGCACTGATGATTGACCTGAAAGAGAACGAGAGAGAGAGAGAAGGGGAAAAAATGATGAGAGCAAAATCATCAAAAATTTAATAAATTTAAGCTGAGCAGAAATTTCCAAAAATAAAAAATACAACTAAATAGAATAAATAAATTCTCTTAAGACTTTTCAGCTGGAAACTGCAAATGACACAACGAGAAAATAAAAACAGCTGTTAACCTATCACGCTAATCAAATGTTATTTTGTTCTTGACGACTGAGGTGTTTACTCACCTGCTGTCCCTGAGGAAACATTTTCATAAAGTCAGCATAAGCTATATGCTTTCTACTGCATTATTCAGAACACACAAACGAACATGGCAGTGCTTTTGTACAGAGAACAAAAGCCAAAAACGAATAAAGAGCTTTGTTTTTAAATTAAATATCTGCTCTTTAGCTGCACTACCAGCAAAACCCAAACCATATTTTAATTAACTTATAAAGTATGAATTGTGACTATAAAAGGCTTAACATTTGACCTCTGTAGCATCTAAAGTCTTCTTGTGTCCACTGAAGGCAGGCATAGATTTAATGTAATTAGGAAACTTTCTCTTACTGCTACATTAATACTGACGAACGAGTGTTTACAATCGGACATCATATTCAAATTGTACACTGTTCGTCCAGGTCGCGTCACAAGTTAAATGCATGGAACTGAGATTTGGAAATCAGTTTGTATTGTGCAGATATTCATACTTTGATTGCAATTACAAGTTTAAATTAACGCACTATAACAGGGGTGGGCAACTCCAGGCTTCGAGGGTTGGTGTCCTGCAGGTTTTATATATCACCCTGGATCAACACACCTGAGTCACATGATTAGTTCGTTACCAACACTCTGGAGAACTTCTCCTCCTCTTGAGGAGGTCATTTGAATCAGCTGTGTTGGATCAAGGGCACATCTAAAACCTGAAGGACACCAGCCCTAGAGGGCTGGAGTTGCCCACCCCTGCACTATAATATGTTAAGATCAACATCACACTCATTACCATGCACAGAGACTACATGAACAATATTTCACTGTGTCTAGCCACGTAGCTTTGAGTGCAAAGTGACTTAAAGATTCCGAATCAGATTGATTGTTTTATCTGGATAAAACAAATGATGCCAATGCATGTGGAAGATCTGGATCTTTTAGTGAGTCAGAATCATTACTTGTTGAAGTCTACGCACATTGGGATGCAAACTACCATGTGTTGAATCAGAAATGCAATATGCTGATCATTAGGTTTTTCTTTCTATGCTAAAATAGACGTTCTAATAAATATATAGCGAGCTGTGAATAAGCCAGTTAGTTTTATATTTACAGTTTAATCACTGCATTTCTGTATAGTCACATCACCTACTAAAGCATTTAAGCACTCCGGCGGTGGTATTACTAACCGTGCCCTTGCATTAGTCCTGCAGAGCCAGGCGGAGAACTCTGATTGGGCTGTCTGAAGAGGTGGTTGCTGGGCTGTGTTGGCGGAGGGCTAGAGGGCTGGATACGCAACCTGAGGGAGGACAGGACAGAGTAGGAGAGGAGAAGAGAGAGATACGACAGTGATGTAACACTTCAGTCGATAGCGCTGCACCACGGTATCAGGTTCATTGTTCACCGTTCAATAGCTGATGAGTAATGTGTGTGTGTGTGTGTGTGTGTGTGTGTACCTCTGAAGCTGGTGGGTTAGGTGACTGGGCTGGCTTTCTCCATGGCCTAAAGACAGACCCTGCAAGTAAAGACAAATAACCAGATTATGGGATCACAGGGCAGACTACATAACATGACAAAGCATAACACGCATGTACACTTCTCATGCCTCCAAAAAAACACATTAAGTAAAATGAAGCGACGATGCACTGCAGCCAAGGTGGTCCAAATCAATTAAGGTTCATCTCTCATGTGTTTCTCCTTCAACAAGATAAGCAACTTTTGTTTCCAGGAGCAGCAGTAATTGAGTGCAGTACACCCAGGTCTCATTGCAGCAATAATGAAAACATAATTCTCCCTTTTATGAGTAAATTTGTAGAATACAATAATAATACAGTGGTGGATGCTCATATTAAACATGAGCACAACAGGTCCACTTAAGAGTTTCATAACGTGGCCCAAGTTGATGTGAAGACACAGTGCTTCGTATCATTAGCTTCACATACCTGGATTTGCTGGTGGAGGATTTGTTGCTCTTGCTGGTACAGGATATGCTGCTGCTGGGTGTGCTCCAGGAGTTTCTCATCCTGCTGGACAGCATACATTTTCTGGAGCTGCTCACACTCCTATTGAAAACACAGACGCGCACCCAGGGTGTTTAATACACATGCTAACAAGGCACAAAATTACAAGTATCCACACTCTACACGCTCTCAGGTTTGAACAACTACCACAGCTGCTTTCATTACCGTCTTGCCAGTAATTAGAACAAAAATCCAAAAATCCAAACCATTCAACACCGTTTCACCTCAGATTTGTTTGCCACAGGTGTGCTCATATAATTAAGATCACCCTGTGTTTAATGATACCGATCACATTTAGCTAATAAGATTAATTGTGTTGCAAAAACACCACATTTTCCAAGTGCTTCTTAAGTACAACCTCCTGATAACACCAGCTTTTTCAGTTTCAGCTTGTATGACCAACGAAGAGAGACGTAATTTACTGTAATCTAGTTTTACGGGTGCTTTCCCAGGCATAGGTCATGTATGTGCCTCTATTCTAAGCAATATTAATCCTGAATGCTCAACATGAAGCGCCCACCGATTCTGATCATTATCTCTTTCCCCACCTACGCCTCCTAGTGGGTGAGGTAATCTCATTGTGGGATTGCTGAAAATGATGCGACATCTCAAGAAAAGTTGTGGTTTTGTCAAGTCAGAGATTCAGTTTGGTCTCATTTTAAGAAAAGCTGATGCAGTGGATCCAACATTGTTTTTCTTTTAAGAAAAGCCTTTAGTTGGCTAACAGGAATCCCCTGCACACTTAGTGGTGTGAAGACCAAACAATAAAATGAAGCTGTTGCACATTATCACTGCAGCCTGTGCAAACATGTCAAACAGATTTGGCCATGTGATGCACATAAAAGCAAAAAGGCAGATGTTACAAGAAATTCAAGTTAAAAAAAAAAATATGTGTGTGTTTTAAATGAGTCTTGCTTGATTGTGATAGTCTATTGTTGTGCTACTCTCTGTGTGTGTGTGGGGAGGGGCCACCAAAAACATGAAGCAAGAACAGACAGGTGATGTGAAGCAAATGTCAGACTTCAGGTCTGATGATTACTGAAATTAAGTTAGCATAAGTGCAGTAACAGTCCTCCCAACAAGGAGTCACAACAGTGTTCAGATCCCATGGCTGACTGTGCCAAGACTGTCTGACTGAATGCATCGCATCAGAGTCCTCCACTGCTAACAAAGCACATATTTACAGTGTCAGGGATCTGTTTGTACTCGCTGTACCAGCGATTCAAACTTGCATCAGAGCGACTGCAAACTATTTCCTGTTCTGCACTGTTGATCTGGGAACCATGTTTTGCATACAATATATAGATATATATAATATCAACCCTAAGGGAAAACAGTGATTTGTTTAGCCAAGCAAGAACAGTGATACGGTTTCACTGAAAATCCTCAATCTTTGAATGTGATTCTTTTCTAACTGGTTAAAAAGTAAAAGTAAGGCATATATTTTTAACTCCTGCACAAATATAAGGATGTAAACAAGTTAATGGCTCTAAAAATGTATAAGTAAGGTGATGTACCTGCTTGAGTTGCTTAATGAGGCTGCTGTTCTCTAGGTGAGCCTTGAAGGCCTGAATGGTGGCAGCCCCGTCAGAGAACCGTCTGACAGGAGAGAAGCGCTCCATGGGCAGATGAAGGGTGTTACAGTCCTTATAGCTGGATCTGAAAAGGGGGCCATGGGGAGCAGACACAGACAAGTGTGTACACAAATACACACGTGCACGCACACACACATATACACGAGACGTAACACGACAGATACCATAGGTACACCATTGGACACACGCATTCAGCCATACAGACAGAGATAAGACACAGAAACAGACATGTGAGCACTTTAAACCTGCACAACATGGTCATATTCAGGTGTTGTCATGGAGGCGTAGTCCAGTGTGTAAAAAGCGTAAGGAGCCCGAACGTATTTGTGTCAAAGGAAACCTCGAAATTTCACCTTTCCTGTAAATCATGCCATGTAAGGCTGGTTACATTAGATGATCTTCATGCCAGGTTATCTAAGGTCAACACTGATGATATATATACACCAATCAGCCAAAGCATTAAAACCTCTGACAGGTGAAGGGAATTAAACATCTTACTAGGATGATTTGTTTTTATTTTTGCAGTGGGTTTTAATCTCATACACCCAAACCACCTAAACAGACCACACACATACCCACGGTTACAATGGTACTCCCTAAGAGGGACAACACACTCAAGGAAGCTCAAGGAGCACAAAGAATAATCCAAGATGCTGAACTGTTGTTTTCCCTGCAGAAGGAAGCCCTACCCTATTGGGAGGTGGGGGTTTAATGTTGTGGCTGATCGGTGCATGACAGTAAGTCCCCTCTTCAGCTGAACACTGATATAGTTATTTTTCTGTACAGAGCTTAGACAATACACATCATTTGATGGGATTGGATAAAGCAGCTGTGTCTGTCATCATTCATATTCATAAAAAAGAAAGACAAAAATACAGCTGAACAGAACATGCTTTCTTTAAAATTAAACTTGTACCCATCTATAGCCCCATTTTAAACCCAAGGTTAGGCTGCCTTGGTAGAAAAGTACACTCAGTTTTGCTGAGCTGAGGGGGAGGATAATGACACCTATGAGGGACAACAGTTAAAACTGCCAGCATGACAACAGTAAAATATGGCTGCTATTGCAGAGAAAATGTACAAATGTAGTGATTTAGCTCTGAGATCTTGTTCATACCTCCAAAAAACCTCCAAAAAACAAAAAACAAAACCTCTGGTAAAATCTCTGTCTTCCCCCAGGTTTGTGAAAATGAAAGAGTTCTACTAAATCCTGGTTTACTGGTGATGTGAAGATACAGCATTTGGCCCTGTGTCAGAAACTCCATCTCTACCATCACTCTCCATTGGTGGGTATGGATCACATCCTTTGTGTTGTTTGTGATGTGTTTGCAAGTGGTGAGAATGTGTGTGTGACAGTGTGTAAGAAAGAATTGGGCTTAACTTTCCATTCATTTAATGGGTCTCAGTGTTTGTGTGTGTCTGTGCATAGAGAGCTCGGAGTGGGTGTGTCCCCTCACCGGGTGTGTGTGTCGGGGACCCAGCCCACCCGCTGACGGGGGCCTTGGGGCCGCTGTGACTCTGCCGAGGGCTCGCCATGCGATGTGCTCATGAGCGTGTGCGTCGTGTGCCGCTTGGAGCGGTTCGCCAGGTACCTGGGCCGCAGGGAGGGGGGGAGGACGGGGGTGAGGGTGGGAGACAGGAAGCAGCGCTGGTCAGCTCTCTGTCCTCATTGGCTAATGGAGATGGGGAGGGAAGGCCCACCCCTTCCCACTTCTGCCAATAGGTGCCATGATTAATATCATCTTAGCCAATCAAAAAACAGTAAACAAAATTACACCGGTCGATGGATGTTATAGCTTATGGGTGTCCCGCAACGCCCCAGCTTTCCAATTTTAGGATTGGACTGGTTGCCATTTAGTATTCATTGGTTTTGCAAGCTTCAGAGTTAGCAAAGCTGTGTGAGAAAGAGTGAAAAGGTCCAGAGGATAATTTGGCACTTACTGAAATGAGAGAGAGAAAGAAAAGCTCTTGGCCAAAGAGTATGAGCGATAGGAGGCACTGTGTCTGGTGGCAGATTCAGTTTAGGACTGTGGCAGAAGGCACTTGCGCAATGGAGAGAGAAAAGATGGGATAAGCACCGCAGCAGAGTGGCCACCTCCCGTTGGGGGGGAAAAAGCAGAGCAGCCAGAGGCACTCACTCCCAGCAACCCAGGACACCAGCGAGGTCTACAGAAGGTGCTGTCTGAAGAGGATCGGCTGGGAAGAGCTCACCTAGACTCAACAGCTCCATAAAAGAACCCAGCGCCCGTCATTACCCCAGACTAATGTCAAAGTTTTTCCACATTATTTTTAAAAACTAAGTCAAACATAAAGTTGTCAAACATGACTATATTCATGTGGGTTTTTTACACTTTGTTTTATTCAGTTACCTGGTTATAAAACCTCCTCTATAAACTTTAGACTTCAATATCTTGGCCGAACCAGATCTCAGTACTTGTACTTGTCGTCACAGGTTATGAGACTTCCACAGATTCTCATTTAGACAGCACCTCTGTACGGTATTCCCCTTCACCAAAAACCGTCACCGTGGGTTACCTCTGTACTGCCTCTTGATCTGGCTCTCCGTCTGAACCCTCCTCATCCACCGGAGCTACTGCAGGGATAGGATGCTAAGAGAAGCAAAGAGTTTACTGGTCAACGCCTGTTCAGCACATAGGAGGACGACATACAAGGTGGACTACATTCAGAAATCCAGATCCTCACCGGGCTGGTGACAAGTGGCGAGGGCCCTCGGGGCCTTTTCAAGAGCTGAGCGTGTAGCTGAATGTTGGCCCCGCCGTCGGAAGCTCTTCGACCCAGAGGCCCCATGCCGTTGAGCAGTTGGAGGGTAGGCGGCTGCAACAATGATTGCTCCTGGAGGATCAGCAGGCACAGGAAGTCAGATTAAGTGGGAAAATGAATAAAGTAAGCTGATGGCTACCAAGTGAAATCTGGTCTAACCCAGCTGACTGTACCTTGTATTCCAGCTGCTGTGTGGGCTGCAGGCTCTGTGTGGGCATAAGAGTGTGCATTTGACCCATAGTGGGGGCAAGAGGGATGAAAGGGGGCTGGGGCAGCGCACCACGAGGGAAACCAGGTGGCAGCTTCTGGAGATCTTCCTGCATCTCTGTCCTGTTAGGGAAACGGAGAAAATGACATAAAATGAGTCGATGATTGTTTAAGATTAGTGAGAAAGCAGCTAATATAATTACTTATGCTTTAATGCTCCTCATTCTTACTCAAATTTGCTTGAAATAACCCACATGTGCACACCCTAAAATATATTACCTCATCTATAAATAGCTGGCAGTCAACAAATCTGAATGCAATTGTGCTGCACTGTTTTAGACAAATACCTAATAATGTGAGTGAAAACAGTGTCAGTTCATGCCTAACCTTTGGTCTGGTACCCCCACAGTGTGCCGCCTCATTGAAAGGTAGCGCGCCATGGCCTCAGGAGATGGCTCCTCCCCTTCATCGCTGTCCAGAGCCATGCTGCCGTCAGGCTGAACGATAGATAAACACACAGCCAGCGTTTAGCAATCAGAAGTGATCTTTGGTAGTGTGTGCTGCATGCTTGTGTGCATTTGTTACTTAATAAAGACAAAGTTCACATTTTAAATGCATTCCATGTTTATATAAACATGGAATTCTATTAAAATAGAACACATTTTTACTACATAGCACTGACTAACTGAAATCAAAACACAGTTGAAGAGTCTAAAGAGACTCCCCTTATTTCTCATCATACTACATACACTGTTGCAGTTTATGAAGAAATTAGCTAGTTCTAGCTTTCTTTTCAAGCTTAACAGCCCTAGCTGCTGCGCACCTACTCCCAGGCTGATGCAACCACTTGATTCCACTGCTAACTCACCTCAACAATCTGGTTCTCTGGATTGATGAGTTGGACGTGGGGAACGGTTATGCTAACAGGATTACCTTGTGGGTCTGTCTGCTGGGACACACAAACACACATACAGAGGTCATAAGGGTTGCGCTAATTTGATAACAATCTTCTTAGCCCAGAGTGATTGGCAGATATGGGTTAAAACCATTCAGCGGACAGACACCAGGACTACAGTAAGATATACTGATGGAGGAGGCACCTTTACTACATCTACAGCTCAAGTGCCTCACAAAATTTATTCCTAAAACCTGTTGATATAAAGACAATTTTGTATACACAGAATCTACAGAAAACTACACTGATCCTTTTAATTGTATCGCAATAATGTCACTGATATCAGCAGACCCCACATATCATGACAACACCAAGAGGTAATGAATCACCTGTACAGCATTTAGAGGATAGCTAATGGGGCGCAGTGTGGGTTGAGCAACACGCAGGGTCTTGTGTTTCTTGAGGCGGTCAGCCAGCAGACTGTAGATGGCACTGTAGTGATCATATGCATCTGTTTGTAGAGACTGAAGAAGAAAAGGCAAGACATTCATAAGCTGTGCTATATATTTTGACAAATAAACAAAAAGGTAGAGATGAAACTTTTCGCCACCTGAAGTGTGCGCTCTCGGTCCAGGCCCATCTCACACATGGCCATGAGCACCTGCTCGTTGATGAGCTCCATCTCTCTCTCCGTCTTCACCTGCTCACACTCCGCTATCAACTGGAAGGGAGTGGAAAAACATGGCAATGCTTTACAGACTCAAATAATTGCTGCTATTAAACAACAATAATGATCAAAGCATTCACAATTTATTAGTGAGGCCAAAACTTAAGTTGATTTATGTCATTAGCTTGTGTAAAACAAGTCAAGATTTTATGAAGTGTGAATTATTTTATGTGTAATTACAGCTGAAAAGAGATGATAATTGCATTCTGATTACATCCGCACCCATAACACTACATATCCATTATAGTATGAATTTTTAATGATCACTGTGGTTTGTGATCATGTTTTCATTACTCCTCCTCATATGCTCAGCTACAGATACTGACATTAAGTCAAAAGATCAGTATATCTTAACCCAGTGGGTTTTTCCCCCTAAAATAACCAAGTAGCTTTGGTTCCTGAACGCAACCTAACCTAACTAACAGCAAGTGAAAGCAAACAGACAGTGAAACCAAAACCAAAAGGTGAGTACTGGAATATAAACCACAGCCTTCAGGTTCACAGCCTTGTGATTTACAAACGTACAAGTGAGGACAAAATTGTTTTTGTCTAAATGTTTCCAAAGGCTTTCTTTAAAAAAACCAATAAAAAAAAATCATAGTTTTCTTTAGAAATGATCAATTATTTATATTTTTAGAAAATAACCGAGGTCTATATTATTAGCCACCCCTAAAAAATGACCATTTTATTGAGCTAGAGCACAAACCACTGCCATGATGACATTTTGTAAAGTTAAAATGAGTGTTATTTTCCCATTTACAAACTTCAGTGACAGTTTGAGCTGTCAGTGAGAAAGTATCATGTCGAAAACAAAGGAAATCAGTTTAGACTTGAGAAAAAGAACCGATGACGCTCACAAAGCAGGAGATGGATATTCAAATGTATCACAGAGTATCCAAGTGTCAAGAACTGGAGTGAGAAGTATCGACAGCCACACAGTACAGAACGAGCCTGGCGGAGGTAGGAAGCCAAAGAGACTCGTGAATGGCTTATCCAAGACGGGAATTGTAGTCTTAAACAAGAAAATCTCTAGAATCCTGAACATAATGAATGAACTGCGGGTTTGCAGATCAAGAAAGACTCGATTTCTGTTTAGAGACACCTTGAAGTATGCTAAAGACAACACAGAGAAATATTTTGCATTGGGCAGCACGGTGGTTAGCATTGTTGCTGCACAGCAAAAATGTCCTGAGTTCAATTCGACCATCAGGCTCGGGTCTTTCTGTGTGGAGTCTGCATGTTCTCCCCGTGTTTGCATGGATTCCCTCCGGGAACTCCGGAAGTGGATGGATGGATGGATGGATGGATACTGGAGATTGGTCCTTTGGTCAGATGACATGAAACTAGAGCTCTTATCCCATAGAGATGGGCGTTTACTCCCCCCATAGTGAAACACAATGGTGGGAGTATTATGCTGTGGGGATGCTCCAGTTGGTCTGTAATAGGGAATCTCATCAAGATGGAAGAAATCATAAAGAAAGAAGGATGTGTGAAGATTCAGAAAGAAAACCGAGTCTGGGTCATCGCTAATATTATTATTGTAAGTGCACAATAATTCTGAGCCTGGTAGTTTTTGGTTTTTATGAAATAACTTTGATTCTGTGTGCAAAATAAAATTAAGTATCCAAAACAAATAGGAAGTTTGGAAAAACTGTGATAAAAATTCCTTCATCTGTTTAAGAGCACTTGGGAAATAGTTCTCCAAAATGTTGAACAGGTGTTGCAAAGAAGTGACACTTTTATAACCATCCATAAAAAGGCTTATTTGATGAACCACAAACTACTTATTAACCATTACCAAAGTTAAAGACATATCCAGATAAATGTTTATAAAAAGTACTAGAAATTACTTTAAAAATTACTTCCCAACGTTCTTTCATGTGGTTAAACCATTATCTAAAGCTGAACTATAAATTTAACTTTTATAAATGAGTTTAACATTTTTAGATAATGTGTATATTAAGTTCCTAATGATGCAAAGTAACTTTAAATGAATGATTCCTTGCAAAGGGATTAAAGAGGGCTAGTTCAAGGCTAGCTGTTAAGCTTAACTGGTGCCTGACAGTAACTATATTTAACATAATATTTAATAACTCTGGGGTTCATTCTCATCCAGCTTTCAATCATCTCTAGTGCAACCAAATTATCTGGCAAATTAAATATGTTGTTTGTGTAACACAGTGTAGCCACTAATGATGGGGTGAGTCGTTTTTGCAAAAACTCTGCTTTCTGGCAAGAGTTTTGCCAAATCAACATCTTATACTGAAACTGTAACAGAAAAAAGCACACTCACACACACACACACACACACACACACGAAGAACAGAAAGAATGACTTTGTGAAATCCTTTTAAAAAGGTCTCACCCGGTCAAACTCTGGGTCTGGGTCCCCCTGTCTCATCCACTTGTTCTTACAGATCTGCTCCATGGTCAACCGTCTGCTGGGCTCCAGTACTAACATGTGTCTAATTAAGTACTCACAGTCTGTAACAACACATAAGCATACATGTTATGCATTTATATCAGAGTATAATATTTCAACTATTTAACTAGTAAGCCTAAATCTTTCAAGTGGTGACAAACGATCAGAAAAAGCTAAAATGATTTGCATTGTTCAAAAAAAATTAAAGATAATTATTAATTTATTAATTTAGTTTCTGTTAGTCCAATTTTATTATTTCCTCTCATACAACATAAAATGCTTTTATCCAAAATAAACCATATAAAATAAATCAAAAGCTGGCCAGGCTTGGACTTCAGCGGCAGCTGTTAAAAGTCTTTACCGTGTACGTCACGCGGAACAAAGGTAAATTTGTTTTGTCTGATTAAAAACATGGAGAAGAATAAGAGTTGACTGCAGTCCCACCTGTGGACATGAAGAAGGGGATGCGGAACTTTCCACTGAGGACACGTGCCCGCAAATTTTGTAGAGTGCTGCCATCAAAGGGCAGGGCGCCGCACACCAGCACGTATAACACCACACCTAAGCTCTACACAGAGGAGAGGGAAAACAGCTGTGAGCACATCACTTTGAAAAATTTGAAAACCATTCATTTATTAATTTTTTCCAGAGCTCTGTCTATTATTTAAGAAATGTGGTCGTCTGTGTTTTTCTTTTTCTTTTCAATTCAGCCGTACCTGGAACATTCAAGTCAGCTAGCCACACCCCACGTTTGAGCCCAGCAGGGCCTTCTGCGTACCTAAAAGTCGACTCACCCATATATCTACTTTGGGACCGTCATACTCCTTTCCCTCAAATAGTTCAGGAGCAGCATAGGGAGGGCTGCCACACCATGTCTTCAATAGCTGGCCTCGAGAAAACATGTTGCTGAAACCAAAATCTGACAGGGCAGACAAGAGGTTGATTTAATCTCACCAGTTGCCTTGACAGAGTAAACATTTTGTTCAAAACAGAAAAATGCTCCCTAAGTACATGCTGACACTTGCCTGCATCCACATCCACCACTAAATTTAACCTACCCACCCATACGCTCTTCAGTGCAAACACACACGTGCGCGCACACACCTGCGATTTTGATGTTGAGGTTGTGGTCCAGTAGCAGATTCTCTGCCTTCAGGTCTCTGTGGACAATGCTGCGGCAGTGACAGAAATGAACCGCTGCAACGATCTGCTTGAACTTCTTCCTGGCATCTTTTTCTGCCATTCGCCCGTGAGCCACCAGGTGGTCTGTACATCCAAACAAAACACAATTGCTGGATTTAGGAAGGGAACACAGCGTTTCTACTGTGTACCTGTTCAGGTACAAGATCCTGTGCTACAAATGTCATTAAATTAATTCCCAAGACTGGCCAGGTGAACATTAAAGTGTACAGCTTTGGTGGGATCTGGGATTTTAAAGCACAGAGAGGGAATTTCATTTCATTTCTACAGGAAAAACTTTCATTTTAATTACAGAGAGTCTGCAGATTTAAATAAATTCGACTCTAAAACCTTTTTAATTCCACTTTAAAGGACATTTAATACCAAAGCTACATTGGAAACACATCAAACACATTAATGTTCATGTTGAATGTAAATCAAAGTAAAATAAAAGGTTTTGACTGACGTTAAGAAACTTGTGTTTATTAAAGAGAAAAAACTCGATGTTGTCCTTAATGGTCTTCAATGTTATTTTGATTTATCTGCATTTCCAAGCACTGACTTAACATTGTTTAGCAAAATACACAATTAGTCTTAAACTTGCATCTTCCCACGTCTGAGGCTAGCTAGCAAAGGCCCCTTTTAATCATCATTACCTTTTTCATCAGACTTTCTGGCAGTGAAGCACGAAAATGAACCTCTTTCCCCTCTGAACACATTAAATTCAGTTTTGTTTTTTCCCCACATTAAGTTTCAACTGTTAGATAATGCTTCTACTTCCCATTAGCTGTTTTTACACATGTATTAAAAAAAGAGAAAAGCTTAAAGAAGTTATTAAAAAAAAGAAAGATTTTACTTAATAACACAGTTATTCATAGCTGATATCAGCCCACTTAGATCAGCATTTAAAATCAGCTTGGAGTTCCAAAGCAGCAGAGCCCAAATGCTACAGCTGCATTACGTGACCACAGTGCAGTCGTGAAAACAGCAGTATTGTGTGTGGAAAACGTTCCTGAATTTAACACAAAACTTAAACACTTAGAATCAATTTTCAGTCTGTGTTTATCTAAAACTTTTGGAGGCACTCTGTAATTAGATTACAATTTTGTTTTATGTATGTTGACACAATCAAAAATCAAAGTAAGAGAAAGTCAACGACAGAGAATCTACATTATAAGGTGACAATGGGGGGCTCCCTTACCGAATATCTCTCCACCGCTAGCGTACTCTGTTACCAAATAGATCATCCTCTCCGTCTCCATCACCTAAAGATATAAACAAATGATAAAAACCAGGACCTGCAGACCCTCTCACAGGCCAACATCTAGTCATGGGCAGTTCATGCGTTACATAACTGAATGACTAAGCACAGTTTGGCATACAAACAAGAAAGATGTAAATAGAACAAAAACAGCCATGTACTTAAGTGTACTGATCAACCTATGCATGTGTGAGGATCAGATTGTTAAAAGTTATGGTAACGTGATAAAAAAGCGTGCCTTCAAATTGCTGGGGGCTATTTCAGATCAGATGCTGGGACACTGGTAGGGTGTTACAATCCTCATACACCTGGAAAAGTATGAAAACAAACAAAACTCTCACCTCTAAATTTCTATCACCGAGTCTCACTAGAGTGAGGTTTTGGGCAGAAGGTTGTAGTTGTACTGCCGCCCCCCCCCCTTTCCCCCCACACCCTCCAATACTTTTGAGACTTTTCCAGGAACAATTTATAATTGAACTGTCAACACCCCCAGAAAACAATGTCTGGTAACATCTGGATTCTTCTACACTTCAATCATCTATTTGCTCACATTTGGCCACAGGTCCCGGGTGGAAGAAGTGAGCAGAGATGTGTTAAAAGGCTCTGTGGGTGAGAGTGACTGTGTACCTGGTAGAGGCGGATGATGTGGGGGTGCTTCAGCAACTTCATGATTTGCACCTCTCTGAAGATCTTTTTCAGGTTCTCCTCGTCCAGCTGGGTCTTATCCACTATTTTTATAGCCACCTGGAGACAGAGACGCGAGAAAAAAAAGAGATGGAAGGAGATGAATGATGGGAGAAGGAGAGATGGCGAAGTGGTGAAGAGGGTGAGATTAAAAAAAGAAACACGGAGTACAGAAGACAGAGAAAAAAAAGCAGAAACAATAACGGTTAGCAGAGGAGGAGAGAATGCGTCTTAAAACATACAATATGTTTGTCAGCTCTTATGTCTCTAAAGCACTCATGACAACGGTATTTTGCCGACACCTAAATTACAGACAACACATCTAGGGCACAGTCACAGTGTCTTAACAATATTGCTGTGATGACACAATAATCAAAGAACAGTAACAAGCCAAGTAAATTACCAACAAATGGACTAAGGGCATGCAGCCCGGGAGACTTTACCCATTTAAAAAAATAACTTAAAGACAAATAAAAATGAAAACTAACAGGGGACACCGACACTTCTTGAGGTGATTGGTCGGCAAGTGTGCTGTCAGACTGTGTTATTCCTGATTTCCAGCTTATTTGGATAACGTGACCCACGCCATGACCTTCGACTGCAAGCGTAATGCTTGCGTAACTGCTGAGCCCCTCGACAATAGCTCCGGCAATGCGGACTGTGATAATTTGTGACAGGAGCTTTGCTCCGCCACTTAGGAGTGGGTAGACGACTTTAATGACTTAATCAAGCAAAGCTAATGGGAATGCCCCAAAACACAGCTTCTGCTAGACAAGCGTGGACAGAGTACATGAAAACTATGCTGCGATTACACACACACACACACACACACACTCAGACACACACTCACACACCAACTCATTTGTCAAATTCTGTGAAGTACTATTTCGAGTACTCCTTTTAGCCATGAAGACGAGGCCATCTGAAGCCTGGCAAGGCCAACTTCCTGGAGCAGACAGGAAGGGGAAGTGAGGAAGAGCGGACGTAGGGGCTCCTGAGAGAGCACAGGGCAGCAAGTGTGGCATTCATCCAGCTTATATGGTGCATTGGTGTGTGAACTTTCCTTTCAAAGGTATTGTACAAACTGTGACAAACATTGGCACTTGGTAGAGTTCATGTGTTCACTAAATTTGGCAACTTACAAAAACAACGTGTCAGGTGGGCAGAGTTGGTGTTGTGTTTTTTTTTTTTTTAAATCACACTTTAGTTGATAACAGCACTGAGCCCCACATACACAACTGCTATTTCAGTTCTAATAGTCGCGAGTATCTTAAATTGGTTAAATAAAAATAAAAGAAGCTTGAAAAACAAAATTCCTAATTAAATGAAAACAGTTGACTTATCCAGCCTGATTGACCATGTTTGTTTAGTTTAAATAGATAATTTTACAAAGCATCAAAACAAGACTGAAACAAAAATCCCCCCCCTCATGTATGTAGGCATCTGTTTGGAACGTGTGAGTCTACGAGGTATTTTAAGCCCTGGAAATCTATTCTTAGAACTGGCCATCGTCAAGCCTTGTTGACGTAACTGCTCCCCTCTGCATCTTCTGGACGGTATCAACAGGACATCTGGATCACACGAGAATGAGCACAATTATTATCACTTTGGGGGGCAGCGAGACCTTGTGAAAAGGTGGAAACAGGGCAGCAAGTACAATTATACAACAATGACATACCCCAAAAAAAGAGGAAGAGAGGAAGATTATTCATTTTTTGGCACCACAAAAATAAATTTGAAGTATTCCCTTTTCTCCATGTTCTCATACACACTAAGGCATCCTGTAAATTTAACTTGTTCTTTTTCCAGTAGTACCATATGGGACATCAAAATAAAAATCTCAGCCACAAAAAAACAAACAAAGGACAAGCCATTCTTTCCTAAAGACACACAGTCATTTTTCTCCTTTATACGGTAGGGTCTGGCTTGAAGTGAGATGCTGGATCAAGATACGTTTCCAAGGACAGAGCAAAGATACCAGTTACCTCCAACCATGATGTTGATCTTGGCTGAGACGGAATTCATGATAACACATTCGTGTCTGTTTGCACAGGCATTTGGCTGTGCACGGTGAAGGGTTTGAGGAAAGCAACCTATGCAGATTTGCTTGCGTGCTGTCCTCCATAAAACCCAGCAGCATGTAGCCCGACTATCATGTACAGAATGCCGATTGCTTGAGAAGTGGATTTGGACGGGAAGGGAGTGACTGGAGCTTACCACAATGAGCAAGAAATACAAAAAATAATTCAAAAAGCATCACGGGAAGCACTGAGAGTGGCTGCAGTGGAGCCCCCTCATTATGACTTCAGTCTTCTCCCTGATACGAACAACAACAGCACGAACACACACGAGAAGTAGCCCACAGACCAGCCTGCAAAGCTCTGCGTAGGTCCAGCATACAGCAATACCAGTCCCCTTAAGCCTTTCAGGTCCAGAGGCAGTTATAACATGTTTTAAGGTTGTGAGGAATGAGTAAAGGGTGCGGTTTCACACATGCCTTGCACTGAATATTTAGTATTAAGTGAAGAGAAATATTGGTGGCAGATACACAGAGGCAGAGAGAGAACAACTCTATAGAGAATGTTAGCGGGCGGAAAAAAACAAATGTATAATGTTAGACACACATACACACGTCTGCTAAATGTCATTTGTACTAGTGAAGCAAAAGAAAACATTTAGTCACGTTTGACAGAAAACTCCAGATCATATTGGTCCCGCTCTGGAGCCTTGTCTCTCTCCCTCAGCACAGACAAAATCCAGCCCATGACAGGAGACTTTATCCAGTTATTCGGTTAGTAATATCTTAAGAGTATAAAAACTGAATGTGTCCTTGCAGGAAGTAAGACATGGCTGCAACATGGTTTAACTCTTTATTCCATAAAGACATCTGATGACCGCTGCTGTACCCTTAAGAGTTCTGAGACCTCAGTATATATCAATAAACACACGGTTTGGCAACCATTACAATTGTTTCTGGGTTTTTCCAAGGGTAGCTGTATAGGTAAAGACCTCCCTCACTAACCTCTGATGCTCACAGAGTCATTTTGTTCTATAAGCGGGTCTGAAATGACACAAAAACTGATCAGATGAGAAAAGAGATTCAAGGGTTACTCCTAGTGAGCTTTCATGGGGTACGGAGTTAAGCACAGGGTGCATGAGATCTGGTTTTCATACCAAAAATTCAGTTACTTTCTGTTGTTGTTTGTTTTTAGCTGCTGTAAGACGTGCTTTTTTCCCCATCTTGTCTGGTGGATGAGGCTCATTGCAGAGAGGTGATAACGAAGGGTTGTCCTTTTTTAATTCCCCGTTTTCTTAAATATTAGTTTCCCGAATTTCCCCTTGAGCAGCTTTCATTGCTTGAGATTAGCAAAGCTAGTAGAGTATGTTCCTTTTATTGTGTTAACAGGTTAACCAACTTGCCCTGAGGTGAGGTCAGCTCGACTCAGCTCAGCTCGACTCCACTGCCAAGCATGTGACGAGTGCATGTCTGTAAAGTTCAGTTTCAACCTGCACTAGAGTTTGTGTACCGAAGCAGTTTTGGGATTTTCATCTGCTTTGATCCAATTTCCATGGCTATTTCTGCCAAAATACCTGCACTCTCTCTCTCACACACACACACACAGACACACACACACAGGAAGACACACACACAGACACACGCACACTCTCCTGGGAGGCCAGCTGCAATGAGACCAAGTGTCATATAGCCCTTCTGATCACAAGACAGTGACCTCAACACAGCACCATGTCCGAGCAGCTGATGCCCAGAAGAGGAGTCTGGACCCGTTACTACACACAGACACAGACACAAGTTTCGGAGAACACAACAGTAACCACAAAGTGTTCAAGAAATGGCTCCTTTAGTATTTAGTGTAAAGCACCATTCATGACTCAGAGCTGGAGGAAGAGTACTTTCTATACCCAAATATTTTAGGATCTGCGTTTCCAAGTAACTGTTATAACAACAGTAAATAAATGTTGGTGCTCATGTAGATACAAAAAACTAAGCTTTTGATTTTATTTCATTTTAGTTATTTCACTGCGTCCACTGTTAAATGAACTTGTAACATGTAGCTCAGGAAAGGTTAAACAACATAATTCCACTATAAGAAACTCAGTAATAAGCTAAGATGTAAAGTACATCCAAATCTTATCACTCTCCTTTATTGGTGGCTTTTTAATGAAGGTTTCAGTTGTACAACAAGGACTCAGCTACCGTACAGAGGACAGCAGGACTGAGATTATTGGGAGCTTGTTAGGAGCTTATACGCAAGTTAATGACACAGTGACGCTTAAATGTCTCCCTGCATAAACACAGTGGACACCAACACAGACACAAGAAGGACTGAAGTAAACACTGCTGCAGCAACAATTTAAAGACCACAGCACATTTCTTGTACTCCATCTTTGCTGTGAAACATGCCTGCCCTCATGCACACGTGTTTGTGGTTGCTGTTGTGTGGCGGGGAAATCTCATTGTCATTGGTTAGCAGTTACAGTAAAAATGCCTTCATTTTCAGCAATGCACTATTTATGGAAAAACATTACACTGTCTTATCTTGTGTATTACTGTGCATCTACTATGGGCCACGATCTCTGTCATGCAGCTCATTTCTAAGAAACTGTGTACACAGAAAACCATAAATCAGCTTTTTCCAAGTTACGGAAAACACCCTCACTGTGATTCTTGAAAATACCATCAAGTCAACATTTTTGCCCAAGACACTGAAGATAACTGCATTTAGGCTGGATTCATGCCCTGATCAAACTAGATAGTGTACGTCTCAGATGGGCATTATCTGTAAGCTGCCAAAAACTATCAATATGGCATTTTAAACCCACTTTACACTGGGACTGGACAGCTGTTTTGAGGTGAGAGGAACTGAGCATCACTGCGCAACATTTTCCAAGTGTGCAACCCATCAGAACAACTCTAAAATTGTCTGAAGTTATCCTGGATTTTAAATAACACTGGATTCCTGCAGCCAATTTTTTATCCCGGCTTTAACTGACATGAGCGACCATAAACACAATCAATGCATCTATATTGAATTGAAACA